ACTCTACCTCAGTAGTAGACAATGTCATCGCCGACTGCAGAGTTGCCTTCCAGCTCACTACAGAACTCCCAAGAGTGAATACATGACCGGTCATTGATCTCCTCGTGTCAACATCTCCAGCATAGTCCGAGTCAGAATACCCAGACACCAAGCACTCTGCATCACTTGAAGCTAATCCCCACATCAGGTGTACCCTTAAGGTACCGGAAGATCCTCTTCACAGCCTGCCAATCCTCCTTCCCAGGTTGTATCATGAACCTGCTGACAACACTAACAGGATGTGCAAGATCAGGTCTAGTGCATACCATAGCGTACATCAAGCTACCTACTGCACTAGCATATGGGACTCTCGACATGTACTCCTTCTAAGCCTCTAACTGCGGTGCGTAAGCTGAGGATAGATGAACATTTGAAGCACTAGGAGTATTTACGGGCTTTGCTGAAGACATGCCAAACCTCGATAGTATCTTCTGGATGAAGCTCTTCTGTGACAATAAAAGCTTCTTATTCGACCTGTCTCTGTAAATATCCATACCCAAGATCTTCTGAGCAGCTCCCAAATACTTCATCTCAAACTCAGCACTGAGAAGCCCCTTTAACTTTTGGATATCAGACTTCGACCTCACAGCTATGAGCATATCATCCACATACAGAACAAGATAGTTCATCGAACCATCCTCCACCTTGTTGTGATACACACAACAATCATATGGACTTCTGCTGTAGCCCAGCTCAAGCATGTAACTGTCAAATCTCTTGTACCACTGCCTCGGAGACTGCTTAAGTCCATACAAGGACTTCTTCAGCTTATAAAATATAGTCTTCTTTTCCTGGAACCTCGAATCCTTCTGGCTGAGTCATGTAAATTTCTTCTTCCAACTCTCCATGCAGGAAAGCTGTCTTCACGTCTAGCTGCTCGAGCTCCAAGCCATAATGTGCCACTATTGCTAGTAGCACTCTGATCGAAGTATGTCTGACCACTGGTGAGAAAATCTCATTGTACTCAACTCCCTCCCTCTGCGAGAAGCCACGTGCAACCACCCGAGCTTTAAATTTCATGCCCTCTTTAGAAGTGATTCCTTCCTTCTTCTTGTAGATCCACTTGTTTGTAACAATCTTCCTTCCCTGTGGTTGTTTGACTAGCTCCCAAGTCTGATTCCTGTCATGGGATTCCATCTCATCTCCCATTGCGGCAAGCCACTGATCAGCTTCGCCACCCAAAACGGCTTCTCTATAGGACTGTGGCTCACCTGCATCCACTTTTTTAGCAACCTGAAATGAATACATCACCAAGTCCTCGAAGCCATAACTCTGTGGAGGTACCCCTGCAGTCGCTCTCTTCGGTCTACCAGAAGCTATAGACTGTTGAGCTCGTGCACTGGACTCTGAAGTTTCTAGCTCTGCAGAGACATCTTCATCATGTTGATCTTCTCCACCTTGGTGCTCAAACTCACTCTCATTGAGAGTTTGCAGCTCCACATGCTTATCAACATTCCTGCTACCTTCAACAACTGTAACCTTCAACATGGGATTAAACATAGACTTCTCATCAAATATCACATTTCTACTGAGTATAACTCGATGCTCAGACGATGACCAGACTCGAAATCCCTTAACTTGATCTCGGTAACCCATAAATACACCCTTCTTTGCCCTTTGGTTCAGTTTACCCTCATCCACATGATAATAAACAAGACACCCAAAAACTTTCAGTGAAGAGTAATCAGCAGGCTTACCATACCACACCTCATAAGGAGTCTTAAACTCGATACCTGTGTGAGGTCCACGGTTGATCAGGAAGCACGCCATGTTCACTGCTTCTGCCCAAAATCTTCTCTCTAGTCCAGCATTAGAGAGCATGCACCGTGCTCTCTCCAACAATGTCTGGTTCATCCTTTCTGCAACGCCATTCTGCTGGGGTGTATCTCTCACGGTCCAATGACTGGCAATCCCTTCATCCTTGCAGAATTCGTTGAACTCAGAATTGCAGAACTCTAGACCATTGTCCGTTCGCAGCTTCTTGATCTTCTTCCCGGTCTGATTCTCCACCAATGTCTTCCACTGCTTGAACTTCGTGAAAGCCTCACTTTTCTGCTTCATCATGAAAATCCAAGTAAATCTCGAATAATCATCAATAATAGACAGAAAATACTTGCTGCCTCCTATGGATTCAACTCGTGAAGGACCCCAACAGTCGGAGTGGAGGTAATCCAGTATCCCCTTTGTTCGGTGGATACCCTTCTTGGGAAACTTGCTGCGATGTAGCTTCCCAAACACACAATGCTCACAGAATTCCAAATTCTGCACCTTGTGCCCGCAAAGAAGATCCCTCTTCGACAGAACTTGCATCCCTCGTTCACTCATATGCCCCAGTCTCATGTGCCAGAGAGTGGTCATATCTTCCTGATGAACCTGAGACGATGCAACTGCAGCAGAACCAGACAACACAGACTCTTGTAATGCATACAAGGTCCCACGTTTCACGCCCTTCAGCACCTTCCTTGAACCTTTGCAGACATACACAACTCCACCTTTTCCTTTGAAGTTGAAGCCCTTGCTGTCGAGTAGACTCAAGGAGATCAGGTTCTTTGTCATTCGTGGAACATGCCTGACATCATTCACGGTACAGAATGAACCATCATATGTCCGAACCTTTATGAACCCGATTCCAACAAACTTGCAGACAGTTCCATTAGCCATGACCACGTTACCACCATCTATCTGCTCGTAGGTTGTGAAGCAATCCCTGTTCGGAGACATATGGTATGAGGCTGCAGTATCCAGAAACCACACATCACCACGATGTGCCTGCTCATCTACAGCCAATACGAGATCGTCTTCAGAACTGTTGTTCACTTCTGCCACGGCAACTGAACCTTGTTTCTTCTATTGCCTTCTTCTCTTGGGACAGTTGTACTTCCAATGCCCCACTTTCTTACAGTTGTGACAAGCATCACCTGGCTGTGGACCGGGACCCTTGGAATTCTTGTTCGAATTCCCTTTACCAGATTTCTTCTTTCCCTTTCCACCTGTAACAGCCAAACCCGATGCCTCACCACCTGTACCAGATCCAGACTCCTTATGCCTGATCTCTCTCGTATGAAGAGCAGACCTGACATCCTCCAACGACACGCTTTCTTTACCAGCAATAAAAGAATCAACGAAATTCTCATGTGAACTCGGCAATGAAACCAGTAGGATTAGGGCAGCATCCTCGTCATCAACTTGAACATATATATTATGCAAATCCAGCAAAATAGAGTTAAGCTGTTCGAGATGTTCTCTCAAAGGCGTACCGTTGTTTGAGATGCAGCTTGTTGGTTAGAGACTTAGTCATGTACAGACTCTCTAGTTTCAACCACAAGCCCGCGGCAGTCTTCTCAGCAAATACTTCAATGATGACGTCATCAGACAACGATAGCATGATGGTCGAGTGGGCCTTCTCCTCTAGGGTATTCCACTCATCGTCATCGACCGCTGCCTTGTTCTGTTTCGCAGACAGCGGCCCCCACAGCCCTTGCTGTTTTAATAAAGCCTGCATCTTGATCTGCCATATAGCGAAGTTGTTCTTCCCCGTGAACTTTTCGATCTTCATGTTCACCGACGTCATTCTTCTGAATCGAAAACCCTAGCCTGATTTCCAGCCGCGGCTCTGATACCACTTGTTATAAACGCGCTGCTACGGATCGGGAAAACGGTGGAATCGACAAAGCAAGAATACGAAAGCGAGAATCGAAAACAAGACACACAATTTACGTGGTTCACTAACACGATGTGTGTTAGCTACGTCCATGGGCGAGAGAGAGCCAATTTCACTATATCGAGGAGATAATAGATTACAGAGGAGTATGAGAAGTATTTATAGTACTTCTCCATGTGGGTCTAAACCTAATCCAATCTGACAAAGGAAACGGTTACAGACCAGACCCAGAACCCGAACCCAAATAACATTGAGCCCATACGTAGCGGCTGACAGTCCGATTCAAGTCACATCAACAACAATGATGATGACGATGATAATTAAATATCCTTTCTGTATTTACATGCAACGCACAAGAATTTGTAGGTTGAAATCCCAGGCCCTATTATCCACTGATATAGATCATAAGAAAGAAAAACATTGAAAAGATGGGAAGCAAAATGCATTGGTCAACGCAAATGAAAGGCCATATGTTTTGGGGTCGAATGCGACAGAGTGTTTTGCAGTAAAGAAGTGTTTCCAAAATGAATGAGAACCGTTTCTGAAAAAAACTAGATGCGATGAGGAGAAGTGATTATTTTAGTGGTAGAGGACGAAAGATAAAAGACATTGCAATTTTTTTTATGTGTTGGCGATTGATAGATCAACAGCTAATGAATGGGACCCGGACTGTGTCCTTTTGTGACTGCAGTTGTTGGAGCAGTTGGCTTGTAGTGAAACCAGACTGTAATGGCAGCTAATCACTTATTGATTCATGATTATTGAAGTAAAACATAATCTTACTATATTTTAACGAAAATGAAAACTTCGTCTCACTGTGAGACAATAGATTTCTTCATGAAATGAGGTATAACCATTGCTTTGCATTTCCATGTCATCCACTTCACTACTCTTTGCTTCCTTGGAAATGGATGCAATTGCGACGATTGAATTCACTAATTAATATAATACGCCATTACCCACTAATTAATATAGTGATAACTGATAATCATTGGGTTTAATAATTCTAATTTCTCTCATTGGTGGCCGGAAGTCAACTGTTGCCTTCCCTCCTCTAATCTTCCTATAAAAAATAGAAGAAGAGACATACACCAAGAAAAACAGAGAGAACCCCATTAACGGAGAGCAATACTGAATGATGATGATACACATCTCCTCCGTCTCGCCAACGTTGCTTCTTATCCCACTTGGACTATTCTTAGCATCCTTCATTTGGGGCTGGCGAGTGTTGTCCGCCAAGAGATGTGCAGCGCCGCCAGGACCATGGAAGCTGCCCATCTTTGGGAACGTACACCAGCTCATGTTCGGTCGAGTTCGAGCTCCCCACATCCGGCTGAGGGAATTGGCCCAGAGATACGGGCCCGTGATGAGCCTGCAGCTCGGGGAGGTGGTCAACGTGGTCATCTCCTCCCCAGAGGCTGCCAAATTGGTGCTGAAAACCCACGACTTGGTCTTCGCTTCCAGGCCCAGTCTCCTGGTCGCCCGCATCATCTTCTATGGCTGCAAGGACATCGGCTTCGCGCCTTACGGGGAGTACTGGCGGCAGATGCGGAAGATCTGCATCGTGGAGCTGCTCAGCGCAAGGCGCGTTGCTTCGTTCCGCTCTATCAGGGAGGAGGAGGCCTCTACTCTCATCTCTCGCATTCGTCTCGCTGCAACTGCGAGGGATGAGGAGGGCGTCGACCTCAGAGAGATGCTATTTTCCTTCTCCAGCAACGTCACTTACAGGTACGGACTGGGATGCATAGTTATTAAAAATCTATTTAATCTTCTAAATCCTTTTATAAATTTCTGCTCTCGACTTTAGAGCCGTCTCCATTTTCTCGGTTTGTTTGATGCCTATCGTGATAAACACGTGATAAACACATATAAAACGTTTCAAATAAGTATTTTAATTTTTTTGATATTTTAATATGGTTCGGGTTAAGGTACAAAACTATATAGTTTTGTCTTACTACAAGATCATAATGGATGGCTACACCATCTTATTCATTTTGATATTGTTTTTTTTAACAAAATATTTTTAAGTCATCATACTACTGACAATGACATAATGATATCACCACGGACAATATTATAATATCATAGTGATATGATGTTGATATGAAGTCTTATCCTCTGGTTCACAAAATAATTTGATAACTACAGTTATATTAAAATGACAAACTAAACTTTGTATGTATTAATATTGTAAGATATCAATACCATATTTTGGTAACTATGCTTGGACGATGACTATTTGCCTTTACTTTGTTTGATCTCTCCCCTAATTATTCAAGAGGGAAGTTCTTGAATTACTTGAGTTGTTTGGTAGAATGGGAATCTCCCTATTTAGTATTTTAGTTTATTTTGTCCAAGATATGCCAAGAAGGCTCAAACCGAGAAAAACAAATTACAAGTTGACAACAACCAGATGCGATAGTCCGTAACCAACCGAACTAGCGACAAAAGAGTAATTTTTGCCACTGCATGGGCAGCTTTGGAAAAGCTCCGAGGAACAAAGGACACGAAACTTACACAAATGAAATAAAAAAAACTTCTCCAAAATAGCCCTGCGAGTGAGGTTGATTCATCTTCAAAAGACCATTGAAATGAACATGATTCCCCTTCAAAACAACAAACAATAAAAGAAAAAAAAAAGAAATCAATTTGGTTCTAGAAATATCTATCCTAAGAGTTTAAAACCTGCCCTTAGGGCATAGTTGGGATAACCGAATTCTCACGCCATTGGTGTGATACAACTTGGAAAAATAAAGCTTTATCGTAAGATCGAGAGTTTGCTTTTCAGAGTAGTTTTTTTTTATGGTTAATCAAAATTGTCATTAAGCATGGGAGATGCCAACAGGCATTTAACTCCTCTCAAGATTTAACAAGAATCCTAACCTCTATACATTCATAAACTCTCTATCTATATCAATGAGAAACAAGTCGAAAACTATCTTGAAGTTGTACACTTCCTGCTATAAAGTAACGGGCATCACTTTTAATCTTTAGTAACAAAGTAGAAGGGGAGCACCAATCACTATCTCCAGCAACTCTTCCACACCCCATTGAAGGTGTTCCTCCCAACTGTTGAAAGTAGGAACCACACAGCTTATCTGCTGCATAATGTGCTTCAATATCCACATTGAGTAAGAACACAAGCAGAAAAGATGAGTACGTGATTCTGATACTCCTAAGCATAAAACACACAAATGATCAGTAATCAATCGCCTAGCAAGTAACTTGTCTTTGGTATGTAGACGACCCATTACCATAAGCCAGACTAATAGTGAATGCTTGGGATAATACGGTTTGCCCCAGATCACTTTGCTCCAAAGAACTAACTGATGAGGAGATTGTATTGAATTCCATATTGCCTTGATTGAATACTTCTTAAGTGAAGCTCCATTCCATTGCAAGGTATCACCACTGCCAATCATGAATGCCTGTGCCCTAGGCCTGCATTTGAGGATTTCCTCCACACCCAAGAACCACTAGCAGTAAGCTGAAGATCCCAAACAGTTCGCTGCTTGACCTTGTATTTGTAAATCCAGGCAACCCAGATAGAGCCTGCCTTTAGAGATGTCGAATGAATGGTTCCAGGTTTTAAAATCACGAACCCCTAGCCCACCTTCCTTTGTTGGCAAGGCAACATAATCCCATGCTACTGGCGCTCTCTTCCTTGAACCCCCTTCTACTGACCCCTAGATACCTAACAGGAAGAGTGTCCAAAGGAAACCCAGTTGTTCTTGAAATAAAATCCTTCTCATCCTGAGATATCCTCGCATAGTAGAGACTGCATTTAGCCATGTTACATTGAAGCCTAGAGACAATGTATAACTGATCAAGTAACCTTCTGATACCAACAACACCTCTCACAGAACCATTGGTAAAAACAAGTAGATCATCTGCAAAGCACAGATGAGTGATCTCTAGTGCTTTGCATCTTGGATGATAAGGGATTTAATTTTCAATAACAGCCCTGTCAAGTAGCCTAGAGAAGATTTCCATAGCTATGGTAAAAAGGAATGGGGAGAGGATATCTCCTTGTCTAAGCCCTTTACCTGTCGGGAAATACCCACATAATCCTCATTAAAAGCTACACTAAACATAGGGGGTAGTGATGCAAGCTCTAATTAGATTCAGGAAGCAATCTGGGAAATTCATAGCATGCATTGCTTGAATAATAAGGGATCTGCTAGTCTCTAGTCTAGAGTCAAAGGCCTTCTCTAGATCAATCTTCAAAGCACACCTATGATTAATAGACCTCTTTTGATAGTCTTTTACTAGTTCAATGGCTAAAAGAATGTTATCACTTATGGATCTGCCCTTAACAAAAGCAGATTAGAAAGTTCTTATTACTTTATGAAGCATACTAGAGAGTCTGTTGGATAGTAATTTAGATATACCCTTATAGACCACATCGCAAAAGGAAATATGTCTAAAATCCTTCATTTGTTCAACATTAGGAATCTTTGGAATAAGAGCAAGATTGGTGGATTTTACCTGTCGTGGCATATTCCCCGTTGAGAAGAATTCCATAACTATATTTTCCATATCTGTACCCACAATATCCCAATCAGCAGTGAAAAATTCAGTTATGTAGCCATCTGGGCCAAGGGCTTTATCCTTTCCCATAGATTTGAAGACCTTCTTGATTTCCTCTCTAGTAATCTGGGGTTTTACAACCTCATGATCCTCATCAGTGAGCTTCATTTTCACCAACTCCATAAAGAAAGAGTCAGGAAACCTCTGTACAGCAGGATCAGAATGACCAAGCAATCCCTTATAAAAAGAGACTACCAAACTACTCATCTCCTTCACCTGAGTCAATACCTTACCACTATCATCAATAAGCTTTTCAATATTCTGCCTATGAGTACGAGCCTTTACTGATGCATGGAAAAATTTGGTATCCAGATCTCCTTGTGACACATATTGTACCCTGGACTTTTAACGATAAAAGCTCTCCTCTGCAACCTGCACCTGCTGGCAAGTAGCAGCAAGTTTTAATTCATTCTCAATAGCTTCAGCACTAGGAGATGCTAAAACCAATTTCAAAGCTTCTTCCAACTTTATTTCTGCTTCTCTAGTTCTCTCAGATAACTTTAATAACTTGTTTTGTTCAACTTTTTCAGCTTCAGCTTCAACTCTCTTAGCTTACCATACATAATTTGATGTGAAGACCCTTCAACCCCCATTTTCCACACTTCATTTAGTAAGTTAGCATACGAGGGATGAGATCTCCAAAATTTAAAGAACTTGAAAGGCTTTGGAAAATTTGATACCTTTGGTACAGTTTCATTAGAAGCCCACAGTGCTCCGATACACCTGGAACTAAAGTTTTAGCAAAACTGTGTGAGAACTTGGTTAACCATTCCCCATTTACGAGAAATCTATTCCAACCTTTTAGAAATTGGGTTCCCCTAACGCTTATTCCACCAAGTGTACCAAGAGCCCAACACTCTATGGTCAAAAGGTCCCATTCTAGAAATCCAATTTCTGAAATCCAATGTACTTTGAGTAACAACATCTGTATTAGATGCTTCCTGAACCTCAGCAATAGCATTGAAGTCCCCCATATAAAGACAAGGTTCCCCCACTACCATTTCTAAGTACAACTCTTCGTATAACCTTTTCCTATCAGCAACCTTATTAGGATTGTAGATAGCAGTAACCAAAAATGTAACTTCTCCTGAGACCCGTACCTGTATAAAATGTTCCCCCATACTCACTTCAATGACTTGAAGACCAGGTCTCCATAGTAACCAAACCCTCCCAGAAGAAGAGTAAGCGTAGTTATCCAAATGAAGCCATTGACTAAACTGTTTATTGAGTATATTAGGGGCATTGACAGCAAGCATCCTAGTTTCTTATATAGTCACCATTTCTATACAATTACTAGCTAACCGTTTATTTAGATATCTATGCTTCTTAGGAGTGTTAAAACCCTTGAGATTCCAGCTCAATAACTTCATTTACCTTTGCGTTTCCCCTTACCTTTCTTTGGAGGGGATATATGATCAACCATAGCTTGCCCTCTAGCATTCAAAGGCACTCTAGCCGCTACTGTCGATTGAGGAACCCTAAGGCTCCCCCCTGCAAAAGACTGATTGTTTTTCCGCACCACAAGCTGAAAACCCTCATCATCCACCACTGCCTTACCCCGATCCCCAACTGTCTGAGGAGGGGTCTGAGCAACAGCAGGCTGAGTAACCACTGGAGAAGCCATCTCAGTATTCCCTGCACTAGATGAAGCCGGAACTGCTTCATTAGACGAGGACTTATCGGCCTCACTGGTAGCCTCCCAGGTTTAGGATCCCATTTCACTTGTAATGCTTCTAAATCAACCTATCCAGCAACCACCAGTTCTCTATCTTGCAAAACGTCCAGAGATCGACATTCATCGCCATGCCCAACCTCATGCCCAAAAATTCCACACTGTGCACATCGATGAGGAACACTCTTGTAGCTCACAAAGATCATCAAAGCTTCCCCTCCTTCTGGCCGAATACGAAAAACCGTCGAGAATTCAGAATCAGCAGACATTTCGATGCAGACTTTAGCAAAACCCATATGAGCACCCATCTTAGTAGTCTGGTCCATCCATAACGACTTACCCACTCTACTCGCAACCCTACCAAGACCTTCCACAGTTAGGTATTCAAGAGGTAACCCTCGTAGACTAACCCAAATCCGCAGTACACCCAAATTCAGTTCCAACGACTGAATTCCCGGAGTCCACTTTCTTACAAATAGCAGGTTACCTTCACAGTGCCATGGCCCGTTCTCGAATACCCAATTACAGGAATCGCTGTCCGGGAG